CGCTGCCAGTCACACCTCCCCGGCTGCCGCCAGCTCCTGCTCTCCCAAACGCCATCCCGGACCATTCCCCTCCAGCGTGAGCTCATCTCGCAGGCAGCGCAGCCTCCTGCCCACCCGCCGGCGCCCCAGCGTCCCCATGCACCCCTGGGGCTCCCTGACCAGTAAGCTGCCAGTCAGGCCCAGTGCGGCCCATTAGTAAAACGCAGGCAGGGGGTGGTTGCAGGCAGCAGGGGACGGTAGGGTTTGGCCACTGCCCCGGCATGTGGTCAGCCCCGGAGCGCTCCCCTGCCCGCACAGAGGGCTCCAGGCAAGTGCCTGGCACTGAGACAGGGTGTCAGGAGCGAGGAGGCAGTGGGAAGGGATGACCTAAGAGCACCTAAATTTAGACAGATGCCAGTGGAGTGAGAGCATTTCCCCTGTGGTCACAGTGTTTACATAGTGAGCAACGTCCCAGGTCGTCCTGCAACGCGCAGCGCTTGCTCTACCTGATGGGATCTGGCAAACACCCGGGGAACCGCAGAGCATCGCACTGCCGGCTCCCAAATTGCGCAGCAGATGGGCAGGACCAGCCTGCCCTTCCCAGGGCTCAGGAGGCCAGGATACATGGGCAGCCAATGCACTCTGCTTCTGCTGGGCCGGGGGGGAACTAGGAGCCCTGGGACCCGAGGTCCCAGCACAGGCTGGCGTGGGTGAGGTCAGGAGGCTGCTGCAGGGGTGACTCATGCGGCAGGAGCTGCGGGACATGGGTATGGTGCAACAGCCTCCCTGAATCAGCCGGCTGCCGAAACTGCCCTCTCCCCACACCTACCGCTGGTGGGAGGATGACAGCTTGGTGCCCGGCCCCGTGCCGCGCGTGGGAGGCACTCTGCCCCAACACCCTCGGGAACAGGCATCCTCGCATCCCAGGCAGAGCCAGACCAGCAACTGAGCCCCAAGCCCCAGCTTCCAGATGGCAGAGGGGAAGGGAAGGTTATCAAACCACTGCTTCAGCCATAAAGCTCTCCACCTCTGCCCCCCAAGAGAGACAAATGCCACCTACTCACCTGCCTGGGGGTCCATCTCCCGTCACCCAGCGTTGTGCCACAGGAGCTGCTCAAGGCTGGCCCAGGCTGGGAGCTGCTGCAGCAGAGACCGGTGTACGCTGGAGCCTGGCACGTCCTGCCCGTCCCCTCCTCTCCTGGTGACACAGCCACCTCACTGCCCGTGCTGCAGCGAGACCGGGCACCACTCCTCACCCACCGGTTCAGCTGGTTCTAGAGGAGAAAGCAGAGGAGCTCCGGCAGACATCCCTGCTCAAGCGACGGATGGCACCTTGCCTGTGCCCCAGCTCAGGACGCCTGCTCCCAGCCCCCCAGCCCTCACCAGGTGGGCACAATTCCTTCCCACATGGGAAGCTCTGCCCTCCTGCTGCTGGCAGAGACCAGCACCCTGGCAGAGGCTGAACTGGTAGCACTGGGAGCCCCAGGGACAGGGACACCCTGGACACAGGGTTGTCCAGCCCTGGCAAGGTGCCTGAATGACTGTGTCCTCTGACTGCCACCTCCTGGCAAAGAGCAGCAGCTGGGAGGGGGACAAGGTCGCACACAGAGCCCGAGCTTGTGTGTTTGGGGGTGCTCCTCAAAGGTTATGGCCCTGTGCAGGGTGAGGGCACGACCCCAAGGTGATAGGGCATCCCCCAGCCACAGACACTTCCCAGTGTGATGCACTTCGGGCTGCATTCTCAAAGCCCTGAGCCACAGACTGAGGTGGCAATCACTGCCTGCTTGCAGAAAGAGGGGGAAAGCATCTCCACACCAAGACACAGGGGCGATACTTGGGACACATGTGGATGCTGGACAGGGAAAGCTGGGATGCAGAGCCAGCGGGATGCAGCAGACCCCAAGATCCTGGCAGTGCCCAGCTCAGAGAGAGGGGCCAGGACTGCTCCTTGCCAGGCAGCAGAGAGGAAAGGGACAGGGTGCGTGCCAGCGTGGCTCAGGGAGGCTGGTGGCTGCACAAAGCCCTGGGCCAGCCCTGCCTGGCCTCTGCCTGACCCATGACGGAGCCAGGGTGCCCGGAAGCCTGTGTCACGCCAGGGCTCTGTGCACAGGAGGCCAGGGAAGGGCCTGGGAAGGGCCGCGACGCAGCCGCACTCCAGGAAGCGAAGCCCTGAAGGCGCGCAGAAGTGTGACATAACATCTGCAAACCTCAGCTGCTTCCTCAAAGGCTTCACTTAACCTCAAAGGAGGAAGTTCCCCACTGTGCCGCCTCCCACCCCCAAGGATGCTCCTGGGCTGCTCTCCCTTCTGTGGCAGTGGGGCCAGGCTGTGGGGCATGTGGGGTGGCACTGGGATGCTCTGGGAAGACTGCCCATGACTCGAGAGGGGTCTCAGGGCTCAGTTCGCTCCAGAGCTCTGCCCAATCCCTGCTGCCCAGCAGCACCCATCTCTTCAGCTGCTCTAGCTTGTAAGCCACATTTTGTCCCTGACAAGGGGCAGGAA